TAGTTTATCCGCAGCCAATTCAGTCATTTTCTCCATGGGACTAATGTCGAAAAGGTTAGTTTACATCATAATGACATGAAAAAATATATATTTATAAATAATCAATACATTTCTTTACTCTTCACATATTCAATAGCCGAATTAATTAAATAATCATAATGAGGTTTTTTAGTTGCTTCTAAAACCAACGACGGATTTGTGGTCGCTTCATGGGGATCAAATTTTTTCATCGCTATAATATTTTTAAAAAATTCACAATATTTTTGTTAAACGAAAAGAATTAATTCAAATATGGTTAAAGTTATTGATAATACGTACACATGAAGTCACCAGAGTCGCCAACGATTGTGGTAAATTGTTTTATTTGATCAAGGACTGAAACCATATTGTAGAGATATGTTTTATAAATGTAAAAATTGTTAGAAATTCAGATCCTAAAATTCACTTGCTTTATATAAATCTGAGCAGATTATTTAGAAACAATGATTTCAATGTGAAAATCAATAACGATAATAGATATCGACATCATTTGAACAAAATTAGACCGATAAGATACAACGATAATGTATAAGAGTATGCTTTGTTCGAGATTAGAAATTGAAACCTAAATTTACAGTAAACCTTTGTCTCTTCAAAATCCCCATAAAATCTAAATTTAGATCTTTGGCTTATCTTAACAGAATATCCACAAAAAGAACAAATTGGCATTAGGACACTCAGTTTTGTGCAAAGATTCTGTAATAACTTCCTATCTGATCCGAAAATTCAAAATCTTTGGTTTTAATAAGGATGTGTCGATCAAATTCATATAAATCTCAATCAAATTCATAACATTACATAAAACTCGATTTTGATTTTTCATTGATATCTTGTGTTCTGGTGATTGAATTTTGATACTTTAGTACTATTAGAATCATCTTTATGAAACAATTCGAATGTTTCTAAAATCATCAAAATTCAATCACCAGAACACGAGACATCAATGAAAGATCAAAATCGAATTTTGTATAATATTACAAATTTGATTGAGATTTATACGAATTTGGTTGACATATTCTGTATAAACTTGAAAATACTGCAAATGGCCATGCAAAAGACCTGGGTCTGTTACATTCCACCAATTTTAAACCTATAGTTGTGTCTAGTACCCTGTGGGTCTACTATCTTGGATGTCTTTTATATGACCATTTACTGAACTGAATTTTTAAAGTATATCATTAGTATAGAATCTTTGCACAGCCTCCTTTGCTGTGGTGCTCCTCAAATATATTCTATTATGGTAAAAGAATAAAGATGAAAATTTCGTGATTTACAAGTTTTTGTAGTTTGGCAAGATAATAAATTTTTGGTTTCAATATAATAAAGTTAAACTGGATATTGATAAGGGTAAATCGTACGATTTTTTTTATTTGGTAAAAAAACAATATACGCATCAATATTATTTACACGGACGGAAAAACATCGGGTTGATCCATATATGTCAGTTATACAATGTCAATACGTAACATCGGGATGATCCATATTATATCAGTTATACACAATGATAGTTTGTGCATGTTGTTTATCCAAAAAAGTTTACTTCATATCACTTGTAATATCACCAGTTGCTAGGATTTAGGGTTAGGGTGCACTTTTAGAGATCTTTTTTTATTTAAATTATAATATTTTATAAATTAGATTTAAGGTTCCAATTTTAGTTCTCGTGAGGTTTTCAGGGTACTGAACATTTTTATTTAGAGCACCCGATCCCGTTTACTTAGTAGGTTTTTTGAGATATAGCAACACCGGTGATATCACCAGTGGTGATAAATAGCAAACCTCATAATATTTATTTAATAGGTATTATCTAAAATTTAACAAATATAATGATATGCTCAGCCAAGTAACTAGTTTGCTAGGATAAAAATAAAAGGTATAATTAGAGTTAAAGTTAGGATTGATTTAGTTAGGGTAAAATTACAAGGGTCATTTATTTATTAGTAACGCAATAGGGTTTCCTAGTTAAATTTTGAGATATTGACTAATTCTTTTTTAAAATTCATAATAGAAATTATTTAAGTTTTATAATATAAGAAGTTTATATAATAAATGATATATATAAAAATTAACATATATAATTCATATATATATACGTAGTATTCTATATAAAGTTGTAGATTTATTTGGATTTTATAAAAAAAACCACTTGCTGATTGGTTTAGGTACTGATATTATTATGTAATTAATAACAAATGGGATTTATTTGAACGAACTGAATATCTTCGTTCATTCGAAATTTGTTTATCTAAAGTCAAAGCATAGTATTAAGATAATAACATTTAAGAATTTGAAATTCTTTTAATTATTATACAGTAAATTTAGTTATTCGGATTTTTAATTAAGAAAGTAATGAATTAATGACTAGAATAATAAATACATTCATTTATGACAGTCTTGTTATTTTTTTTTGAAAATATATTTTAGGTTAGTGCGTATTCTTCTTTCATGTGTATAGTTCTGTATTTGTGTAAGCTGTGACGGTAACTCAAAATTTACCGTATAATGTAAAAAAAAAACCGATTACGGCAAGTTACGGAGCATATAAAAGCTTTACATAAACAACTATATCAGTATAACGCAAAGTTATAAGTAGCATACTGTAATTTAAAGCAAAAGTTATAATTGGTTATAACTCATTTATGACACATATTATGCTTTATTTTCAGTCTGAATCACCAGTACATAATTTGTGACGAGTAAATGCGCATGTGAAAAATATGTTCAAATTTTAGACTTGAAACTCGTGTACAACTTTTGCATGAAACGTATTATTTGAACTTAATCCCGTTCACTCGGACTTCTATGGAACAGGTCCGAACAGGACTTTATCAGCCCTAGCAAATCTATAATTGACGTATCGACTACATATGTATATGTTCTGTTCGAAAAACTTAAATTTAGACTATAATTTGTTAAAAACAAATAAGTTCTTTTCGAAATCCACCCCGGATGTTCTATAGAATAGGTGGGCAATATAAAAACTCCGCCAACGATTAGTAATCATTAATATATATTTAGCAGAGTTGCGGAGTATTCTATAGACATCCGAAATGGATCCCCAACGAAATCTAAATTTGGTTCTCTCCTTTTGCTGTGGATATAGTTGTTAGACGAAACCTCGAGGTTTCGCGCTGACGAAAGGCGAAACC